TTCACATCAAATATGAAACAACGACCCACTATTAATGAGTAAAAGTCTCAGCGGTTGATTAAAATGTGATGTGGACTTTACGAACACGATAGAGCATGATCTGGAGAACATGGAAGCGTCGAGTCCAATGAGATCAACGAAGAACAGCACCAGCCCGTCACAATGATTATGAACAGATGGCATATTATTGAGTAAAAAAATGAACACCCAGAACTCAAAACAGGTTAGAAAATTGTTGAAGAGGAAAGCGAAGCAAAAGTCAAAGAGCAAACATGAAGCAAAAGTCAAAGAGCACACCTTCTTAATCCGGCAGGTAAAATACCATCGGTCTCTGTCTGGACAACTTGATACGATATTTAAACTGCATGACCCGGCACCACATGGACACATAGCAGGTTTAAATCTAGCAGCAATGTCGTCACTCCATCTGAAGAATCCGCAACTACCCTAAAAATTAACAACAAAAGAGCAATGCAAAAGATATAAGGGAAAGGTGGGGCATGAGGTGTAGACTGGACAATAGTACTGTACTAACCGATGTTCTACGATCAACAGGGCAAGCATAGAACTTTCTGCCAGGATTTTTAACGGTGTTCGAAGTTGAAACTTTACAAGTGCCCCGGCCACAAGGGCATCGAACCACTGGAAGATCAGGAACCTGCACTGAAGGCGAGGAGGATGATCCAGGGCTTAAGGCCAGTGATTTTGGGGGGGTTTTGCTGGAGCAATCTTTGGACCAGTGGCCAAGCCATTTGCACATAAAGCATTGATCATGTTCTTTGGAGTTCCTTTGAGGAGATGGGGAAGCAGAGGGTGATGCTTGTGGTGGAGTTGAGGAAAGTGGATAACTATTTTGACACTCGTGGCTCTCACACGCCATCAGTTCCACTGACTCTCTGGTTTTCTTCGAGTAGAAGAGGATAGAGGGGAGACGGAGGGGACCCAGTTTGCTTCTTTTATTTTGGTTCACACTGACTGGAAGGAACTTTCTTTTGTGATTAGACATGAGAGAAGGGAGGCGACAGTGGACAGCCTTGGTTTGGTTATGAGCTAAGAAAGCTAGTTAAGTAATACTCTAAGGCGTGGGAAAAGCGCCGTAGCTTCCCCGCGCCTTTCACTTATTAATATATTATATTATTATAATTATTATTATGTTATATTATAGAACTGTTTTTTTCTTTTTCTTTTTGTTTTTTTAATGAATTATTTTTATTTGATTTAGTTTGTTTATATTAATCTTTTATATTGTATTATTAGATTTTCATGGTATGGATTCTGTGTTTGATAGATTAACCTGATTTAACGAGTTAACTTGAATTTTTTTTTTTAAGTAATTTTTTATTTAGTTTAGTTTGTTAATGTTAAATTTCTTTATATTTAATTATCAGACTTTCATGTCACATATCCTAGGCTTGACGGGTTAACTTAATTTGATGGGTTAACCCAATTATTTATAAGTAAACCCGTCAATTTTTTTTTCTATTTAGTTATCAAATTTTCATGACGCGAATCCTAGGTTTTATGGGTTAATCTGATTTAAAGGATTAACCCAATTAATTCAATTTTTTTTCATTAGTTTTTTTTCTTCCTGTTGGTTTTTTAATTTGTTTTTTTTTAAATTAATCTATTTAATTATCATACTTTTATGACACGACCTTATAGTCAGACCCATATTCAATATTACTAGGTCCGGTATTGCAGTCAGACTCGCTTAAATTTTGATCATGCAAGTTAAATGTTATTATAAATCTTATAAATATTACTCTTGGGTCAAGCGTTGCAGCCAGACCAAAGACTCTTGGATATATCTTTGAAGAAATACATAATACTTTTAGAACTTAGTATTTCTTGATATTTTTCATGCAAGAAAAAAAATAACTTGTGGTGTATACTTTAGTTTTTTTTTTCCTTTTTTTTTAAGCTTTTTACTGTGGATTGCACATTGCAATCCACAGTGAAAAAGTTGATGCCTTTAGTTTTTTTTTTTGTCTTTTTTTTTGTAATTATTTTTTTAATTTAGCTTCTTAATATTAAATTTTTTCTGTTTAATTATTAGATTTTCACGACACGGATCCCAAGTTTGACCGATTAACCCGATTGATTCATATTTTTTTTCTTTTTCCTCGTTACTTTTATTCTTCTTATTTCATCTTTTAATATTGTATGCAGTCCATGGTGAAAAGACTGATGTCTTTAGTTTTTTATCTCTTTTTTTTTATGTATTTCACTATGGACTGTACAGTACAATCCGCGATGAAAATATTGATGTTATTTTTTTCTTTTTAATTAACTTTTTTTATTTAGTTTGTTGATATTAAAATTTTTTCTATTTAGTTATCAGACTTTCATGACATGGATCTTACTTTTTCTTCATTAGTTTTTTCTTCATGCTGGTTTTTTTTTCCTTGTTTTGTTATTTTAATTAATCTATTTAAGTATCACACTTTTATGACATAACTTTGCAGCCAGACCCATATCTAAGAAATATTGGCAAGTGAGGTTCTGGCCTAGCGGTTGGAGGGGCTTGTCCCCTTCCTCCGCATCTGGGTTCGAACCTCACCATGCACGTCTGTCACCCCCGCGGTGCCTTACCTGCTTACTGGGCTTGCAGGATGTTCAGTGGGCCGTGGGGATTAGTCGTGGTGCGCGTAAGCTGGCCCGGATACCCCATGTATATCAAAAAAAAAAAAAAAAAGAATATTGGTTGTGGTATTGCAGCCAGACCCACTTAAATTTGGGTTTTTCAAGTTTAATGTTATTATAGATATTACTCTTAAGTCCGGCTTTGCAATCAAAACTAAGACTATTGGACATAACTTTGTAAAAAAAATCTAATACTTTTAAATCTTAGTTTTTTTTAATATTTTTTATGTAAAAAAATTGACCCGCAACATCGCGTGGGTCATTTCACTAGTGCATTGCTATATTGAGTTATTTTAAGTTTTGGAAGTATTATTGAAAAAATAAAAAAAAATTATTTTTGTATTTGTTTTAATTTATTATTTTTTTTAATATTTTCTTATTATTTTGATGTTCTGATATTAAATATATTTTTTAAAAAATAAAAAATATATTTTTTAAATATATTTATAAGTAAAAAATGATTTAAAAAACAATTATAACCGCATTCTTAAATAGGGTTATAGTCTAAAGAGAGACATATGAATGTGCTCTCCCATTCAAATCTCTTTTGATTAGCTGAAAAAATATTTTTATAAAAACATTTTTTAAAAATATAAATTTTAAAAAATAAATTATTTTTAATATTAAGTAATATTATAAAAAATAAATTAAAAAATATTTTTTAGTGTTTTACTATGCCATAAAAATAAGTTGAAAAATAAATTGTTAATATTTTTAAAAAGTTTATTAAAATAATGAGAAACAAATCTCATAAATTAAAAAGTCATAGGAATAAAATTAAAAAAAAAATCTAATTTCATAAATTATCTCAAGTAAAATAAATAATAATTAAAATAATAGAGATCAAATATGTTGAAATTAAAAAAATACAGTTTTGATAAATTATTTCAAATAAAATAAATAACAATAAAAAGAATGAAAATCAAATTTAATAGATACAAATTTTTAATTAAAAAATAATAAGAGAAAAAAAAATAGCAGTCATGAAAATAAGGACTAGAGTTAATATAATTAATAATCAAATTAAATCAAATTCTAAGACATGGAATTTAAAAAAAAAAACAATTCAAAACAAAATATATAGCAAGAACTAAATTTGAAGTGTATTTTCTATAAAAAAAAATAAAAAGATATTTTAATAAAAAAAATTTTAATTAGAAAATATTTTATGTTGATCAACTTTATTAATAGCAGACAAACACAAGAAAGCTTGAAAATTAACTTTCAAAAAATCACTTTTTCTAAAACAAATGAAGCTTCAATGTACATGTTTTATATGACACTGGCTATTTTACATGTGCCTCGTCGCGAGTTAGATATTTTTATATTTTATAAGAAATTTATGTCTCATTGCAAGTTAAATATTTTTATTTTTCATGAAATGTTATTTATATAAGCTTTTTCAATGTAATCAAAAAGTTCATGCACACATATAAACTAATACATTAATAATTATTTGCGTTGATAAATCAATAAAAAAATCATTAATGACAGCTAAAAATAAATTTTAAAAAATTAAGAGATAAATGTAGATCAAGATATTGAATATTAAAAAATAAATCATTAAATTGATTGAATATTTTTTTAAAAAAAAAAGAATAACATGTAATGCTATACATATTAAGAATATTATCTAAAAATAAATATTTTTTTAGTTTTAAAAACCTAGTCTATCTATGTAAAATATAAAAACAAAATCATAAATAACACAGAAAAACCATTCTAAAAATTAAATACATAAAAAAAATCAATATTTTTAAAAGAGGCCTCTGAATAAAATTAAAAGAGAGGTTTTTCTTTTTTTTTAGTTTTTTAATCCGTCATGTCACTTTTTTTCTATTCAGTATGTTATTTAAAATTATATTTTCATGACAATCATAGTTATAAAACTCAGCCTAAAGGTTGACCTACCTGAGAGGTCAAGTGTCGGGTTACACGAGCTGACTCGGGTCAACTAAAAAAAAATCCGAGGTTTTCATATTTTATATGAAAAAATTAAGAAACAATTCATGTGAATATAAACTATACCTATTGTAAACAATCAAGTTTAAAACATTATTTGAAAATATTCTTTTATCCCACGCTAGTAATATATTATTTTATTATTCTAAGTTTAAATATTTAAACCAAAATGATTTTTTATCCCACATTAAAAAAACATATTTTTTTTTTATCGTGAACATATACTATATTTACTACAGGGCTTCAAATCCCAGATTACAAAAATAAAACATTCTTATAATATTTATATTGTGAATTTTGAAATGAATTACTAATCAATTGAAAAATATGGAGAGAAAAAAGGTTTATGGGTAGGAGAAAAAACACTTTAGAAAAAAGAAGAAGAACTCTACCGGGTTTTTGGCAAGTCACCCAAGTCCCGGGGTGGACTCGACATGGCGACCAGTTTACTCTGAACCAATTGCAGGCTCAAATTTTAAATGAAACAAACTCGACCAATACTATTAGGTCTTACTGGCAACAAAGTCTAATTATAAAATTTTAAAAAATATTTAATGTATTTTGGGTTCTGTTAGGCAACACACTCCAATTGTATTGGGTCTTGTTGTACATTAAACACAATAGCCTTTGATCTGGCTGTAAGAGAGATCTAACAATATTTTTTTACTAAACACATAATAGACAACACCCCTCACAAGTGCTACAGTGCTATTCATTACTAAAAAACCGAACCGAAAGAAAAAACCGATTAAAATTTTGAAAAAACCAGCCGGTTCGATTTCAGTTTTATAACTAAAAAACTAGAAAACCAAACCGAACCGAACCCAAACTGGAAAAAAAACCGAGCCAAAACCAGAAAACCAAGTCAAACCGAAAAAAACCGAGTCAAAACTGGAAAAAACTGAGTCAAACCAGAAAAACCGAGCCAAGCCGGTTTGAACCAGTTTTTTCTCTAAAAAACCGAACCGAACCTAAACTGGTCGGTTTGACCTGGTTCAGTTTGGTTTCGGTTTTTTTTTCAAAATTTTTTTTTTCAGTTTGGTTATTTTTTTTTTATAAAAACCGAACCGAACCGAAAATGAACACCCCTACTATCCATAGATTTAATTTTTTTGGGTGGCAGAATGCAAGTTTTCATATTTTATTTTTTGAAGAAAAATCAACAAAGAAATCATGAAGATAAATATTAAAATTTGTTAAAGCAATTTAAGAAATTGATTTACTTGTTCTACCTAGTTCTTTTTTTTTTCTCCAGCCTAAAAATTAAATATTTTCAAATCAAAGACACTCTAACTGTGGAACATGTATCAGTGAACAAATTAGTGTTAAGCATGGAGGGAGAAAAAAAAAAACAGATGCACCATTATTTATTTAAAGGTAAACCATGAAAGCTTATTTATTTTATGGTCGGAGCAATTTTTGTTCCCATCGCATTTATAAATATTTTT